AAACATATTAACATTATGCTTTCCCAAAAAAAATCGGGTAAAACGAAGTAAGTTGGTAGAGAATGAGGATGTGGGTTGGAAAAGGAGGAGAGGGGGGGGAGGTGCACAGACAGAAAGAACATACACATTAAGTGATATATATCTTAATAGATTTCTGATTTCTGTATTCTTATGACTAAACGGAATATTTCCAGAATATTGAGCCATGGAAGGGCTCCAGCCTTTTCCAGAGGCAGCGCGAGTACACTGAAGGAAAAGTTCAATGATCTCATGGAATTGATGTCGTCACTGGGGTTTATTGAAGACGTGAGTACCCGTGCGCTGTTGTTGCTTGCCTGCCTGTCTGTCTTTCTTTCAGTCTTTTTAGATTATCAGTGTATCTGTTTATTTTTTTCCGTGTGGCATTTGGCGCTCTCCATTATGTGTTTTATAACACTTTCCTTTTGTAAGTTTTTAAAAATTCTTTTCGAATGTGTGTCATATTTGTCTATTTTCTGAAAAATGTGTTTATCTGAAAAAAGAAAAATTGCGCCACAGGGTACCATAAGTTCTGTTCTGGACAGTCAGATAAACTAGATTTGCACCTAGTCAAATAAATATCAAACTGCTAGTGCGTTGATTTTGTCTTTGTTAATTTAGTACAATGTCACAAATCAAAGTATAGAGAGTAAATGAGAAAAAAAAGGAGGAGAGATATGGACAATAGATATTTGATAGGACAAAAGAAACAAACCACGTCGGCTTTGGAGTGTGGATAGACAAAGTTCATGTTGCGTATTTTCTTAATATTTAGAAGCGCATTTTCAGTTTTGAAGTTTTTTAAAGCGTTGTGGTGGTACATTTTTCAACAGCACCCTCGAAAGCCATTCGATAAAGCAGATAAAAGACATCCGAAAGGAAATGATATTTTTATATACGTGGAGCATTTAATACGGGCTGTCAAAAACTTGTTAAAATGTATAATATCATAATCAAAAGTGAAAATTGTTTGTTTACAAATCGTCAAAAATTCGTACCCCCCCCCCCCCTCACAAACAATAACTGAATACGCATTGCGGTATCATAGGATAAACACCTTCACATAGTAGGCGTCTCTAAACAAGTTTTAATTTTACGTTCGAATTTTTCATGAACCCAAAATTGTCTATAAACAATGATCATTATGACTGACGACTCTCGGTACTTGCCTATTGTTTCATTCACAAACAGCATCACCCTATGGTTTTTCTATCAATAGAAGCTGAAGAAAACAGAATCACGAGAAACTAAGCCTTTTTCGATTTGCAAATTGAGAAACAGTTTTATTCAATATCAACTACTTTACGATATTCCTCTTCTTTATAAAATGATATCGATAAGCCATAATATGTCTTTTTAATTCTTGAGACAACGAGACGGAAGTATCCTGGTCTTCACATTTTGGTCTGTGCGTTTGTTAGTCACTTACTAAGATTTACCCCCCAAAAAATCCTGTTCAGGGGACTGTGAAACATGCTCTTTCGCCCTCACAACTTATCCAACAGATCTGTCCTATATTAACTGCCAGATTTACACAATCCCCCGCTGTGACGACATAATGTACGTTTGGTGTTCGTTTGAATCATGTTTCTTAGGCGTACGTTAAAGTATGGTGTTAAAGAAAATAATGTAGACTTTTAAAAAATGTTTTAGGAGTCTGCTATTCATCCCCTATAATTTTTTGGACCGCTTTAGTCTAACATCAAAGAGAACGCGTAGGAACCTTTTATTAATTTTGTAAGTGTTTTAAAGTGCTCGCAACTGCAAGCGGTCATATGAGCACCGGGCCACATTACGTATTTTCATTTTGGGAGGAACTGATTTTGAATTTTGCCCTGGTGGCGGCCGAAACCCACTCTTATCGATTTTAGGACCACCAAGGGATTTTTAACGGGTGCCACTTGCACACGACACCTCCGAGAATCTTTTCACCTTTATCTGAGAAGGCTAGATTTGAAAGTGGAGACGAAAGCAGAGGACAGAACATGGTCAGAGAGCTAGAAAGGATGTGAAAGAGGTACACTTTAGAGAAGAAAATTTTTCGTTGCTGTCAGGTTTCGAACCCAGGATCTGCATTGAATGAGACCCAAATCTTTATCTGCAGTTATCTTTATGAATGGACTTTTAGATTCTGTTGGTCATATCTAATTTTAAGACCCGTATGCAAAGATCTGTAAAGATTACACAGAGCGATTTCATTTTACCTTGTTTCAACCACGGTTAGTCGAAAGTGAGCAAGTTATAGTTTGGGTACAGGGATCTCGGGTTTTTTTTGTATTCGGATTTTAATGTGTAGGGGTGGGGGGAGGGGGAGGTCGGGGTCTGGATAGATATTTCTGAAGTTCACAAATAAGAAAAAGCATTAAAATATTAATTGGAATTATTTTACAGTGCATATTTAATGCTTATGAGCGCATGTTTGACCAACCTTACCTCTATCACCTTTCCTAAGTAACATTTGACTAGAAATGAAGGGGTATTGGTCTAAGAAAAAAAAGCTGCTTTGCGAGTTTTTGAGTCTTTCTAATAACACCGCATGTTCTGCAAGATAAACGTTTATGTGTATAAAAGATACAGCAATACTTTTTTGCGTTACTATAGTAGTCTGCCCATGATTTTTAAAATCTTCACTATATTGAAATAACTTTCATATGGCCACGCAGGACGTCACCACAGTCCTGGTCATCCTGTGCGCCATTTTACATCTGACCAACATCACATTTGAGCTGGCAGTGGATGACTCAGATGGAGTGCGTGTTGTGCCTGGACAGTCTCTTGACTCGGGTCAGTGAGTTTCTGGATAAAGGGGGATGGGAGTGTCAGACTTTGGACTCGTAGCATTGACTATTTTAT